TTCTATTCTATTCCATTGCATTGCTATTCTATTCTACTCTAGTTTTATTTCTTTTCTATTCTAGTTTTATTTCTATTCTATTCTGCATTCTATTTTATTCTATTTTCTATTCTAATTCCTTCTATTTTCTATTCTAGTCTATTCTTTCTATTTTCTATTCTATTCTATTCTTTCTATTTTCTAATCTATTCTATTCTTTCTATTTTCTAGTCTATTCTTTTTATTTTCTAGTCTATTCTTTGTTTTTCTATTCTATTCTAATTGGGGTAACGGAATCCTGACACCTAGTATGATTTGATGGCTTATTGTATCCTACGACTATCATGATTAAGTGTTGTATCTGATGATGCTTGACTCTTGACAAAATGTATGTATCTTTTGTTTTGTGTAGACTGAGAGCATTTGCACCAAGACAAATTCCTCGTGTGTCTAGTCACACTTGGCCAATAAAAGAATTCTATTCTATCTATCTAGATTACTCTGTGTTACTGAGACGGTTGCTTACTAAACCAAGATACGTACGTAAACAAAATTGATCCTTTTGGGGATTAGCACAGAATCCGCTGGGATGGCGTTGCAGCAGCGCTGTTCTGAACACCAAAGCGACATATTCTTGCAAACTTCCTCCGTTAATTCAAAGCGTACGTAGTATTCCTTGGGGGAGGAAGGGTAGGACAAAAAAAAAACCAAAAAACCACAGAAATGTTTAGCCAACTAGGAAAGAAGAGAGGCTCCTTCCTGAGCACTGGAACACAGGCAGTCCTCAACTTACGGCCACAATTCAGAGTCCCAAATATTCAGTCGCTAAGCGAAACATTGAGGTTTTGTCTCCGTTTGACCCCTTTCCTTGACACGGTCGTGAAGTGAACCTTCAAGCTAGGAGCACAGTTGTTAAGTGAACCTGGCTTCCCTGTTGAGTTGGCCGGCCAGGTGGTCACATCCTGTGACTCCGTCATAAAGATGAGATTCATCGCTGGAGGCTGGGCTGCCATTTGTCAGAAATGATGTAGGGTCTCCCGCTTGGACGGGGGTGGGGGGTTGGACTAGATGACCTACAACGGTGGACGGCGAACCTTTTTGTTGTGCTGTGCCGAAAGCACGTGCCTAATGAGCCCCGCCCCCCGCCCGCGCATAACATCCCCGCCCCACCCCTTTACTTGCAATGCGCACGTGCGCGCCTCCCAGCTGATTTTCGGTCCATTTGAGGCCTTTTTCACCCATCCGGAGTCTCGAGGGAAGCCTCTGCAGCCTCAGGAGGCCGAAAAACGGGCCTGTTTTGGCAGTATACCGGAAGTGCCGAAACTGGCCCGTTTTTCAGCCTCCCGAGGCTGCAGAGGCTTCCCTCAAACCCCTGGGAGGGGGAAAACGGCCTCCCCGGCCTCCAGAGGCCCTCTGGAGGCTGAAAATGGGCACTTCCGGTATTTCCAGAAGACCCGTTTTTCGGCCTCCTGAACCTCCAGAGGCTTCCCTTGAGCCTCAGGGAGGCCGAAAAAGGCCTCAAAGGGGGCGAAAATCAGCCGGGAGGCGCACGTATGCGCAGTGCAGGAGAATTTGGCTGGGGTTCGCGTGCCCGCACAAATGGCTCCTCGTGCCACCTGGGGCACTCGTGCCATAGGTTCGCCATCACGGGCCTACAAGATCCCTTCCAATTCTGATGGTCTGTTATCTGTTATGAGTCACTTGCCAAGCGTCTGAATTTGGATCGTGTGACCACGGGGATGCCGGAACCGTTTGCTAAGTGTGGAAAACAGGGCACAAGTCATGGGTTTTTTCAGCACCATTGTAACTTTGCTAAATGAGTGGTCGTAAGCCGAGGACCGCCTGCATTGTGAAGGACTTGAATTCACCTTAGCGACTTTAAGGATATCAGCAAGATATCTGGACATGACAAGACGCTTCTTGGCTCGAGTGACAGCGACGTACATCAAATTCCACTCATCTTCCGGAATAGCCTCTGGGACGGCTTAAGGCGAGAGGGAAGGAGGGAAAAATGGAGTTTAATGGGAGTTCTTTGAACAGATCCGCTCCAAACATACGCCTCAATTCTTGAGCACTGAGTGGTGCCCCATCCCAGCTGCCAAGAAAGGGAGGTGTTCCACTGCTGATTAAATGTTGCTATCAGGGCTTCCCTAAAAAAGGAGGGAGGGAAGAATGGATGGGTGGATGAATGAGTGGAAGGAAACAAGGAAGGGGAAAGGAAAATGGAGGGAGGGAGAGTGAGTGAAACGAAGGAAAGAAGGAAGGAAGGAAGGAAGGAAGGAAAGAAGTGTTCCACTGTTGATTAGAAATTGCTATCAGGGCTTCCCTAAAAAGGAGAGGGAGGGAGGGAGGGAAGGAGGAGAATGGATAGACAGATGGAAGGAAAGTTAGAAGAACGGGGAAAGAAATGGGGAAAGAAAAGGAAGGAAGGAAGGAAGGAAGGAAGGAAGGAAGGAAGGAAGGAAGGAAGGAAGGAAGGAAGGGAGGGAGGGAGGGAGGGAGGGGAGGGAAGGAAGAGGGGGAGGGAGGGAGGGAGGAAAGAAGGAAGGAGATAGAGATAGATGGAGGGGAGGAAGGAAGATGATTGAGATGGAGGAGAAGAAGGAAGGAACATGAAATAGAAAGAGGGGAGGAAGGAACATGATAGAGATAATAGAAGGAGGGGAATGAGTGAAGAAGGAAGGAAGGAAGGAAGGAAGGAAGGAAGGAAGGAAGGAAGGAAGGAAGGAAGGAAGGAAGGAAGGAAGGAAGGAGGGAGGGAGGGAGGGAGGGAAGGAGGGAGGGAAGAGAGGAAGGAAGGGAATTATACCCACCAGGTATACTCCGTGGCAACCTTCCAGGGTAGGGCCATGTAAATGGGATGCTCACAAAGTCGCCCGCAACTTGGACGGTGTCAAATTCCAGCCCTTTGGCCTTGTGCACCGTCCCCAGGATGTAATCTAAAATACACAGAGGAGAAACAAGGAGGTCACCTGGCTTTGTCAGAAGGTGGCAAAAGGGAATCCCCTGATCCCAGTGGCCAAGCATCTGAATTTCGATCATGTGACTGTGTGGCTGCTACAACGGTCGTTAAGTGTGAACCACGGTCCTAAGTGCCATTTTTTTCCCCAAGTGCCGTTGTAACTTTTTTTAAAAAAAATTTTTTTAATAAATAAAGTTTTATTAAACAAAAAGAAAACATTTTAAAACAGTGAACATGCTGCAATCATCCTGACACACTTAATTGTCATAGAGAGCTGTTTCAGATGACAAATAATACACATTTACATAGTATATACATCTATATCAACAATTCTTTCTAATCTGTTATCTTAACATCCTTATTGTGATGACCCACAAAAAATAAAATGTCACAAAAGTAGAAAAAAAAATTCCCTTTAATGCCTCCAACTTGGCCCCCAGTGTCCAGTTATCCTCGGCTGAAGATCAAACTCTCCCCAAAAACGGTCTATGAAGGGAGTAAATGCAGTCCAAACCCAAAGTAAAGATAATTAGAAATAAAAGAAACCGACACAAACCACGCTGAAGTAATTAACACGGCAGGCCAGGATGATAAATTGCAGACTTCCACAAGATAACGCAGCACCCACAGTTGGGAGGACGCCAAAGCCCAGATTAGCCTCGACAAAGATAATGCACACTTTGCTTCCAGCAAAGAGCTGTGTGCAAGCGCTCCACTTATACCATGTTCTCCCAGCTGCAACTTATGAAAGGGAACAGGGCCACTTTCTCTCCCGTAAGCCACCTTGCTCCCTTCTCTGTTCCTCCCTGCGTGCCCTAGGATGAAGAGGAGGTGGCCCTGGGCCTTCTTCTGAATGCTCAGCCGGACTGTGTCCTTCCCCTGTTCCTTCCACAGCCACTGGAGCCACGTTCCCACTCAGCGGCTTAATCTCAGAATCAGAACCTCAGAATCAGACTCCAACGAGGGCATGACAGAGTCAGAGATATTTCATGCTCGCAACACAATACCTTATGCCACCAGACTTGAAATTCTAGACCTAGAAAACCTAGAACTACGATGCCTTCGGTCCGATCTAAGTATAGTATATTAAATCATACATTGCAATGTCCTACCTGTCAATGAATACTTCAGCTTCAACCATAACAATACATGAGCAAACAACACGTACAAACTCAAGGTTAACTGCACCAAACTCGATGGCAGGAAATACGACTTCAGCAACAGAGGGGTCGATGCCTGGAAAACTCTGCCTGACTCTGTGATTTCTTCCCCAAACCCTAAAAACTTTAACCCTAGACTGTCTACTATTGACCTCACCCCTTTCCTAAGAGGTCTGTAGGGGGCGTGCATAAGCGCACCAATGTGCCTATCGTCCCTGTCCTATTGTTCCCCTTTTTATTAGTATCCATTTCATGTACTCATAATCATGTTTATACTTATATCTGTTATCTAATACATGCTTGACAAAATAAACAAATAAATAAAATAAATAAAGTAGCTAGTTTGAATTTGATTCATGTGGATCCGGTCGTTCACACATAACATTTACCTGCATCTTTTGGATCCAAGACATGGCACCGGGATATTCTCTCCAGCAGCTCCGGAATACGTTCCCGATATTTCTCCACAATTCCAATTTTTATTTCCAGTTGTTTGTCTTCTGCTTTTTTAGCGTAGTCCCTGATGCCGGCCAAGCCCTTCTCAACCCACCTCTTGACGAAGAAATCCTTTATCTCCAGTTTCACTTAGGAAGATCAAATAAGAGAGTTTATTTTTTTAAAAAAGAGGCAACTGGACTTTCTGGTTTTGCTTTGAAGACGTTTCGCTTCTCATCCAAGAAGCTTCTTCAGCTCAGACTGGATGGTGAAGGAATGGAAGGATTTATACCCCTTGCAGACGGCTGGTCATTTGCGTCCTTTTTAGAGAGATGTTGGGTCCGCTTGGAGGCTCCTATCTGACCTCCTTCCAACCTCCAAGTGGCCTCAACAACTCTCGGAGAGAGTCTAACGACCAGACGAAATTATAAAGTTGTTTTATCAATTATAAACAACTTCCTTGCGCTTCATGATAGAACAGAGTAAAATAGAACAGAATGTAGGTTAGAATAGAAATAGAATAGAATGCAGGATAAATATAGAACAGAATCAGAAATGAACAGAATAGAATGTATAGAAAAGAATAGAGTAGAATAAGAATAGAATAGGGAATGGAATGGAATGAAAAGAATAGAAATGAATGGAATGGAATAAGAATAGTGTAGAGTAGAGTAAGAATAAGAATAAGAATAGAAGAGGGAATGGAATAGGGAATGGAAAGAACAGAAATGAATGGAATGGAATAGGGAATGGAACAGAATAGAGTAGAATAGAATAGAATAGAATATGAATGTGAATATGAATAGAATCGAGTGTATAGAATAGAATAGAACAGCACAGCACGGAACAGAATAGAATAGGGAGTGGAATAGGAAATGGAAAGACTAGAAA